GTGGTTAAAGGTACCTTTATGTTGACCGTGTGAATGGGGTATTAATGAGCTGCGCTTAGAGTACGCGTGTAATGCCAAGCCTCTATGCACTACGAAAATTAAAACACAACCGCGTGCTAGCACGTGCACAACCCGTAGTGAGTTAGGGTGCCTACATGTATGTCTGTCTCAGGGTGAAGACATATATTGTTGCCCTGAATGTGCCAGCGCGTGACGCTCTGGCGCACTCGGTACGTGACTTAGGCGGTAAAATGGCGTCTGTGCCTTAGCCAAAGCTACGCGCTCGAGCTGAGTGACACCGGCTTGCGTGCACCTCAACGTGCATTAAAAAAAAATTGACCGCATCTCCACGCGGTGAATGATGTTTATTGGGGCGAAGCACTGGTGGTGCTTGTCTGTGTAGACGCTGAGCCGCAGCATGCCGAGCCTTTCGTTCGTTTTCATCTATGTCAGAAAGAGAATGTGTGGTATGGAACGTGGTTATATACGCAGTTGAGCATTTGACCGCAGCGCCCTCTCGTCTATAAACGTTGAGCGGCTACATAGAAGGTTTTATACATGACAGAAACCCCAGCTCTTGAGTTACTCTCACATCTCAGAGCCCCCTACTCGTCCCGCAGTCGTGGCCGAGTGGTTAAGGCGATGGACTGTGCGGGGAGATCCATTGGGGTCTCCCGCACAGGTTCGAATCCTGTGCGGCGAACCCTCATCATTTTTTTGGGCCCTACACGAGCACGTGAGCACCTGAGCTCACGAGCACGAGCACGAGCACCAGCAAGATCGATGTGAGCCCGGACGCCGGACGGACAAGGCTAGACCCTAAGGAGCTTCGACCCTAAAAACTATTGGCGACGTGCGCGACCGAAAGCGTCGCTGTGGTCGGCCTTCCAGGATTGGCCCAATAGCTGACTATGACGTCGGAAAGTGTATACCATCGACGGAAATAAGAGGAATGAAAGAACTTTAATTTCGACGGTGTTGGCAGTGTTGCTTTGAGAGCGCAATGATTTCAGGCTTCCACCATGCTATTTACAAACACCATCGAACTTGTTGTTCGCAAGGTAATGACGTCACAAGGGAAAACCATAGGAGGGCGCCACCAAAACATCTCGCCGCTAATTGGGTGGCAAAATGGCTGAGATGTCACCACTCAAGAAAAAGCGCGCGTATGTATGAAGGCACTCAGTTAAAGCCCCTTCATGTTTCAAAAGTAGCGCAAAGTGGGTCGATGCACGAGGAACATGCAACGTGCATCCCTTGGGAAGATCGTGGCGGCACAGCGCAACACTGAGCTGGATTTGAGACGCCATGAATTTCCCAGAATTGGTGCGCGGCACGTGCCTCGAGCATTTCTACAACAATGGATGGCGCCACTTTTCCCAGGATAGAGGGGCTTTACACTGAGTTAAACAGAAACGCCCCTGGCGAGCTTCTCGCCGCGAACATTCCTCTGTCCTTCTCGAAGTGAAAAATCTATGCTATGCATAGTATACATAAGAGGAAGAAGTTAATACTGTAGCATCGTATACTATTCAGCGGCGTGCGTTTCACACGCTCTACGGCTGTTTGCAGGTCGCTGTGCCCGGACTTGGTTAGCGTGGTGGGGTAGTTAGCTATATCGTGATTTAAAAAAGGAGAGCCTACGGCGGACGCTCTTGCATGTCACGTGGTGTAGAGCTACAGTGAACTAGAATAGGAATAGTGGAGCAACAGCCGGCCTCCAGGCGAAGCGCTTTGTGTAGAACCTACCAGGTAGCGCTGGTGTTCGATTCCGGATAGAGTGCCTTCATACACACGCGCGCTTTTGCTTGAGTGGTGACATCTCAGCCATTTTACCGCCCAATGGTTTTTTTTACGCATTTTGAAGTGCGCGCAATCCGGTGTCACTCAGCTCGAGCGCGTAGCTTTGGCTGATGCATAGACGCCATCTTACCGCCCAAGTCACGCACAGAGTGCGCGAGAGCGTCACGCGCTGGCACATCCCGGACAACAATGGATGTCTTCACCCTGAGACAGACAGACATCTAGGCACCCTAATTCCGGAGCACTCCTGCCAGCGAAGTTCGCTCCAAGCGCAGCCGTTTTTGATCTTAGCGGTTCATTAGTGTGGCCCATGTATGCTTTATGGGTGTCTCGACGTCTATGAATTAGTGTTTAAAGCTTACTTGTGCAATGTAGTGAAAACCGGCGTAACCAGTCTCGCATGCTGGCGCGTAGCGGTGCGCATCCGTCTTCTTTCTCTTCGTTTTCATTGCTTAGCCGACAAGGCTCGAACCTATGTAATCAGAATGCCAAGCTCTTGACATTCACAAAATTAAATTGCGAAAACGATCATAGAGACCGCACAAACCATCTGAGAACGTACGCGACGCCATATCCCATGTTACAGTAGTTATGTCCTCCGGACTTCGACAACAGGGCCATTCGCGGCAGTCTTCACTTGTGACTTCACACGGCCGATGGGGCGCCACCGACACCTCTTCCACTGCCCCAATATTATAGTCTACTGTAGTAGAGCCTTCATTCTGTGCTCAGAATACGCTATTTTCTGGGGCCATAGCTAGCATTTGGTGCGTTCATGCTGTGGCGCAGTGCATGACAGTACTGCTTGAATGAGTTTACGCACATGAGCACTAATATACAAGAAAGGATACCCTGGAGGTTTGTAAAAACCGCTAAAACGCAAAAAAAAAAAGGCAAACGCGGGCAGCAGTTTTAATCACACAACGAAGAAAAGGCATGGGAGAAGAACCAAAGCACTGTAACAGGGTAGCTTGCTGGGCTGGTTTGTTGAACGGCGTAGTGAAAAACAGCGCAGAAAAGACGAACCAGAAAGTAGAAGACGGACAGCGCATGTCCTGTGTCCGTCTTCTACTTTCTGGCCCGTCCTTTTTCCGATGTTATTCACTACGTCGATAAACCAAAGCACCAACGTTACGTCGTAGCCCAGTGTTGCTTGACTAACATCTAACCCGCTGGTGGTATAGAGCAGCTTTAGCGGAGCACGCGGCTTCACTTTCACGCTATATTTCGGCTCTGAGCGTACTTCGTGCCACTAAAGCGAAATGCGTAATTTAATGTTGTTATATATTTTTGACCGTAGTGGCCCTTTAATCTGTGCAGGGCACTAATTTTAACGGGTTTCGATTTTTGTCAGTCATCAGACACCTGAGAACGGTGCCAATATTTTTTTTTTAAACCGAGTCTGTTGATAACGCTGCACATTATTTTATTTTGACCCCTGGAAAGTTTGAGTGGAGATAAGTGTATCACTCAAATGTTATAAGTCTCACCCAGTATTGGCGGCAACGCGCTACAAGTAACGGCGGTACCGGAACCGCGTTACTTTTTCCGGTAACGCTGTAACGTACTCGTTACTTTCCCAAATCAATAACGGGTAACGTAATTACACTCTAGAAAAAGCCCGTGCGTCTACTTTCCCGCACAACACTCGGAGAGCCAATCAGTGCAACTTACGGAGGCGGCTCAGCGAATAACGATGCCAGAACATATGTTTAGACCAAAAAGCGCTGCCTGAGTTGTGACATTAAGCAATGCAAGCGTGACATTTTGCCGTGCTTAATGTCGTAACTCGGACTGCGTTCTTTGGTCTAGACATCTGTTTGGGCATCTTCATTTGCTGAGCTGTCTCCGTAAGTTGCGGTGATTGGCTCTCCGAGTGTTGTGCGGGAAAGTAGACGCACGGGCTTCTTACACGTTACTTATTTCAAGTAACGTGTAACGTAGTTTCGTTAATCATTACACTTCTTTTCGTGTTTTTAGGCGCCAAGCCAGACAGACATTTTTATGGGTTTTTTGCGTTTTTTTCTTACCGGTATTTAGGTGGAACCGTAAAAATATAAGGTAATATGTTCAATTCCTCAATGGTCATAATGTTTCCCGAAGTATGGTGATTATGCATATCTGTAACGTCAAAAGAGTAAAACGTGTTAATTCATACTTTCAAAAGTAACGCAAAAGTAATGCGCGTTACTTTTTATCGGTAACGGTAACGCATTCCTTTTATTTCCGAGTAACGAGGAATGTATTTCGTTACTTTTTTTCGGTATCGCCTAAAATACTAGTTTCATGGTTCACGGAAGCACCGTCGGAACCTACGCACGCGCCGCATAGACCCCCCTAAGAAATTACACTGAATGTAAGAACTGTAACTGAATGAAGGTAAATAGAAGTTATTCCAAAACTCGAAGCGCCTCATCGCGGCGTAATGCCACGTTATGCAATCTGGGAATCAGTGGCCAGCAAAATTCACACGCGTTCTGCTCCTGGCCCGCAAGTTCCTAGAATGCAACAAGCGCAGTGACGGATTTATGGAAGTAGTCTATTGCTCGAGTAAAAGAACAATCAAAATTCATCTTTTACTTTCATTGTGGCAGAATCTAAATCCTATTTCCGCTCACTTGCAAAATAGCTTTATTCCATTATATTGCGTTGTTTATCAATTAAACAGTTAGCTATTGTCTTTGATTGGCATATGATACGAGTTCCGGATTCTCAGCCTTAGAAGGGACTCAGCCTCATTTCTTTGTATTTCAGTTCTAACAAAATTTATGCAGTATCGACAATATTACCCCAAAACTTCCAGCCTGACACCAATACAACATAGCGGTAGTTCTTTTTTTTTTTTTTTTTTTTTCCCAGACGAGAAGTTTACGTCGTTCTTTTGAACTCGTCCACAATAAGAGGTCAACCCACGCCGCAGATAGGGCGACGCCTTCTCCAGCCTCTTCAAGGAACGATTTCGCCAGCGCGCCTTGCGACTCGTAGTAGCCGGACGCGAAACCTGGCCACTTGTCCGGCGCGGGGGAGTGTCCCATACGCGGATCGTCCCGGCGCGACCCGGTCCGACGCGCGCAGTAGCGCTCATGTCGACGCGCTCGGCGGCAAGAGCGTCGTGCGACGGCACACACCAGAGCAGCAGCGCCGGTTGCGTCACGCACGTGACGTTCTCGAAGGAGCGCGCCCATTGGCGCGCGTAGCCGAGCACGTGCCACGCGGCGGCACAGTTCAACATCGGGCCGCGCTGCCGCCGCTCCAAGCAGCAGTTGCATCGATCGGGCCGGCCGCGAAGGGCCCGCTGCAGACTCGCCCGCTCATGAGTCTGAGCGCAGAGTACCTGGACATGGACAAGGGGGACGCCGGGCCGGGCAAGCGCCGGGGCTTCTTCGTGAGCCACAGGTGCCTCGCCGCCGCCGCGCTCCTAGTCCTGGCTGCACTGGTGGTCGTCGGCCTAGCCACCCGCTACCTGTCCCCGGAGGCCTCCGGCGCCCTCCAGCACGCCCCCCAGGAGCCGTCGGCCCCCGTGGTACGCGTCACCGACCTCCGACTGCCCAGGAGCGTGCAGCCGCTCCACTACGAGGTCGAGCTGTCACCCCGGCTCTTCGGGGACTTCGCGTTCACGGGCGCCGTGGCGGTCACCATGCACTGCCTGAGCGCCACGGACGCCGTGGTCATGCACTCCAAGGACCTGAACGTGTCCGACGTGTCTGTGGAGGAGACGACCAGCAACGTCCTGGTGCCGTGCGGTGCGCCGGTCCACGACGCGGCGCGGCAGTTCCTCCGCTTGCCGCTGCACAAGACGCTCAGTGCGGGCACCAACTACACGCTGAGGATGCGCTTCCGAGGCTGGCTCAACGACGACCTGGCCGGCTTCTACCGGAGCTCGTACACGGACGCCGCCGGCAACAAGAGGTACGTGAGCATCGGGAGCGCGCTGAAGCCGGTTTCGCCGAACCAGCTGGTTCTCGTCTTTGTATCTTCCCGGGCTTGCTCACCGATCGGTGGACGGATATAGAATGCGCGCGGGTTCTGATGGCGCCGAGCAACGGGGCGTGCGCCGATCTGGAGGGTGCGCGGGAACCCTTGTTTTTTGGCGGTAAGCTCTCGAGCCGCGAATCGGGAAGTCCTCTATTAGCAGGACGGGCTGAGACCGGGGAAAGTCTTGCTCCGCTTTCTTCGGGCCTGTTTTCTCGCTGTCCCCGACGAGTTTTCGTGCATGCGCCCGCTGGGGGTGAGTCTGGCACCCAAAGCCTTCCTCGGGCTTCGCGGTCCGTCGCCTTCGCCGCGCTCTCCTCGTTAGGGCGAAAACGGAACTTCTAGGTCAGCTGGCGGTCGGCGACTTTTAGTCTGCGTGGTGCGGCGGAAGTGATTGCTCGACGAAAACAAAGACCTCAATCGCCCCTTTCATGAGCGCCGGAGCATTGACCCGTATGCGCCCTGTGGAAACACTGCGGTTGTTTGTCTTGCGGAGTCTGATTTCTCAAAGCTGTACGGCACGCGGGCCCTGTGTCATTAGGATTTTTTTTTTTTTGCATGTGCTTTCGGTGTACGTGACTTCATCATCAACGCCATTATCAACATCATCTGTCATCATCATCAGCACATAATAATATATATTTCTTTCTTATCACTATGTTAAGGTTCGGGTCACCTTATAATTATTCGGGGCACCTCATGAGTCATAACCTTATGAGCTCTCGTCCTGTTCGCCTCCCCTTTTTTCGTCTTCGTCTTTGTTAGCGCTGTCAAATTTTTGTATGTTAGGATTTCACCGGTTGCCCGCGGAGGATTATGTGGGTTTACTATCTACATGGAAAAAGGTTTTACACTTCTAAATGGGTACTACGGCTGTTTTCTTGAGGCACCCTAGCTATCTTTTCTAAATCCCCGGTGCTTACCCTTTCCGGTATGCTATTTAGTTTCGCGAAATTTTGTAAAAGTTATTGTGAAATCGGCAAATGAAAATTTTGCAAAAATTAACATTCAAATAAACCCGCACTTTTCAGCGCCTAGACGTCACTGGAAGGCAGGCTTTCCAGTCAAGCAAACAGCCTGAAAAATGGGAAATGCCAAGTATTTGTTCCGTGCTGGAACGCGGGGACTGGAGCGAGCTTACAAAGCAGTCATTTCACGCCATGGAACTGCTTGTAATCAGCTGGGAACAAAATCCACTGTCCAAATAGTGAACTCGTGGCTTCTACTGGCGTCACTTTTTCTGTGTTACTAGTATCAATTTTCAGTTTGAAAAACACGACGAGAACCAAAAATCTAAATTAGCAAAAAAAAAAAAAAAAATATTTTTTAACCTAATTTTTGGAATACTATTTTAGCGATGTTCGTTGGTTTGTTTAGGAAATTTTTAGACAAATCGGAAACCATGAAGAGATCGCCGAAGTACTTTAAATTTGTAAATCAGCATGACCCAGGGCTAACACCCTTCGGGTGTTTTGCCAACACTATTAGAATACTGGTGAACGCCCAAAACATTTTATGCTTGCCATCTCAGCAGCATCCTAGGGATCATTTTTACGAACACCACGCTTAGAAACACACCACATGCACATGCAGTTCTCACATACACAGAAATAAACACGCAATGGATCGCGTACCAGAGAAAAGTCATGAATCTGGCGACTGCTTTGCCGCCTTATATACTCAAACGATTGAAAGACACAGATATACAAGTGCACCACCTCCACAATTACAATGGTTTAACGTATGCTCCTTTGCTCTCGTCAGTATTTCGAGTAATGCAGAATATGTCCAAGTTCAAGGATTTTATCTCCAGTTAAAAGCGTTTTCAGAGACAAGCATTATTTGAAATTTCCCTAAAATAATCTCGCAAAGGCGGGTGTCAGTGGGGCGAACACCCTTCAGACAGGATGTCCGACTCACTTCAGCCTTTTCCACGCTCTTTTTACATCGTTCACAATTTAGGGTGTTCCATGCAACTACGCCCTCTTGTACTTTTGGAAAGAGTGTATTATGTCGAAATTAAGATTAACCTAGGGCGCAAAGTCCTACTTTGTCTCAGGAAGAAAGATTAATAGCCATTAATTTTCTCTCCAAAATATAATCTCCAAGAACACGCAATTTGGCCTTTCAGTTGTCCCGCGGTCTACGTTAGCTTCTGACATTTTGTTTCTTCCTAACTTCCGTACAGTTCTTAGGGCCGGGCTCAGCTGGCTGAAGAGCAAGTTGTTTTGGACTCGGGGCTAAAGGAAGGTTAATAAGCAATCCATCACCCCAAGGGCCTTGACGCTCAAAGCTGGGCGTCAAGCCGGGCAAATGAATGAGATGACGCGGTTTACCCTTGACTTTTTTGTTTTCCAGCCGTCTGCCGCTGTGCGCAACACCTTCTTTGACCTTTGATATCCAAGGGGAATATCATTTGTTTTGTTAAGCCGCACCAGACGTTGCTTGACCTTTCCACCTTCTTTGTACGGTCGAAGTCGTAATTAACGGGGAACGTCAAACTTCTTGAGCTTACCTTTGAATTGAGGCGTGAATCTATTCTTTAGCGTTAGAATAATATATTTAGCGTCCTTTAACAATCTTCTAAAACACGCATAGACCTCTAATTCTAATAAAAATCATCGTCTTTCCTTCGGATGTATGCGTGCTTACAGAGCACGGTTCACTTATACGCTAATACAAAATCTCCGGAGGCATATTATATATATATAGCCGATACGTTTTATGTCTACTTGAACCTCCTTAGGTGCGCCCCAATCTTCGGTGAGCGAATTTAATGTCGTGAGAAAGAAGAAGAAAATAGGCGGTGCTATCGAGAAAAAAAGCGGATTAGTCTTCTTTCTCGATCAAAACAGACGGTGCGGTAGTGATAAGGAGCACGTTCCCGAGCAGCTTATCTAATATAGCGCTCGGTACAGGAACCAGGTTTCCTGGCATGGGAGACAGAACGCCGCCCCTCGCCGTCGGAACTTGCTGTACGCTCAGTGCTCCACGGTGCGCTTGAAACACCCATCGCCGGTCTTCTTGAAATCAATTTTCCCAGTGAGAAAGTTGAGCGGTGTTGCACCCAATAGTCACTGAGAGCTTGTGGAAAGCAGGGCGAAATTATTCTGACCGTGCTTCTAGATTCTTGATTCGTTCTGCGGCGTTCTAATTGGCTGTCCCCGCATTGCGATCGGATGCTCACTGATAATGGTATGCAGGGCACTTGGTGCACGCCCTGCAGTTCTCAAACTGTCAGTGACCGTATAGGTGCATGCAGCCCGGGTAGCGAAAACGCGTCGATCCTTCCGGCAGTAATATTCCTTAGGGCCCATGACCGGTGGAACAAGATAATACTGATCGCCTTGCTCGCTGGTCAAACTGATTCATGCTCAGTTTGACTGAACTACAGAATAGTATACGTGGGTTTTGAAGGGTAGACGTTGCAATCCCCCAAACACGAAACGCCAGAAAAAAAGAAAATCTATTCAGCATTTTAGAACCGTCCACTCCGACTTGTCAAAAAGGTGGTTATGTACGTTTTGTTCATGTTCCAACTCTCATTATTTTAGCGTCCGCACGAGTTAAATGGTACAAGAATGTCTAAACTCGATTTCGTTCATTATGGCTTCTCTTTTTGCCTGCTTCGAGCTTGATGACGCTATAGCGGGGACACGGCTGGAAGCCTGACTCGAGAGTGGAGGTTCATTGATTCGGGGAGGGTGCAGTGAACTGATTATCTCGAGAGGGAATGTCTACAACCATTTTTTTTTTTCAAGTTAGTAAATATCAGTCCAAAGAAGAAAAAAAAAAACGTGCACATCTGTATGATTTTAGTCGGAACTGCGGGACATATTTGTCGTACCCGCGCATTTTTCGGTGCGCCGGCGGAGGGCCGGTGGCGCCCGTCACGAACATCTGTGACGAATCCTTGTCAAGGGCGATGGCTGCGTCTGGCAGATGTTCCCTCGATTCTTATCAACGTGGGGTGTTGTTCTCTTTCACTCGCCGTGCGAGGAAAACATGGCTGATGTTCCGTCATGTTTCCTCGTATGTGCCCTTGATCACGGAACGCGTAGGCTTCTTTCGGCACTCGCTTGCCGCATGAACTCGCACTCGCATGCCGCATGCGGTAAACTATTGAACCGTGCAAAGAGACGACGGCTTTATTAGGGCATTTTAGAATAGGAGGCCCCGACGCTTTGGGTGCCCCGAGCAGCTTGAGGCGTCGCACTGGGCGTGCGCAGACATTCTGCGCATGTGCAATGCGACTCCCTAAGCTGTTTGGAGGCTCCCAGGCGTCGGGGCCGCCTGTTCTAATACTCCCTATTGTATACGGTGACGCCGTACAACAAAAAGATAAAAAAAACTGCAAGCATTGTTTGTTTGCGTGTGGGTAAGAAATTCAATAACAAACTCTACGCTCTATAAAATCTGGAGCGATAGCTTTCTCGTAAATCACTTGGTAGATCCAATTTCTACAGTTTACGGAAGTAGCTTGGCAAATGACGAGGCTGATACCACGATTAGACTAACAAAAACAGCAGTTAGCTCTGACAAGTTTTTTTTTGCGGAAACTTGTTGGAATGTATGAATTGAAGTGCTGTAAATCAATTACCCTTGGGAGGACCTAATTCATGGGGTTTAAGTTGTTACTTCTTTTGGTAATTTAACTGTAATCGTATCTTGATCGCTTTACCTCGCAATGTGTACTTGTGGTTACTTTCCCTTCCATTAAAAGTACTTGTAATTGTAATTTATTTACTTTCCAGCTATCGGTAATGGCAAAGAAATGCGTATGTGAATTCAGCTGCTCATTCCGCGATCTCGTTATAATGAAGTCCTGTTTTATGACGTCACTGACGCGGTTGGCGTCTGCCTCAGGCCCTCCGCGTTCTTCTGCCAACTCGTGGGTCCGTTGTTTGAAGTGCAGCAACTGCATCTGAATCAGTAGC